GTTCTGAACAGCGCTAACCTCGACCTCGCACCGATCAAACTACTTTATCCTGCAGTGTGAAAAAGGTTGTTTTATGATGTTAAATGTTTATTTAATTGAATTTGACCAAAAGTATAAGACCACCTGCACACGCGACGGCCACACGTCTTCACAGAGCATAATAATCTTTTAAAAGCATAAGTCTTTTCTGAACACGTATACACCGTTATTTTATTAGCTGATAGTTTAGTCAGCATTGCCCTTTTGAAAATTATCTTGAAGGTACACTGAAGTACTGTATGATATCTTGTTTTTTTGTTTTCCCAGTGTCGCCAAAACCACAACCCGTTTAACCAAAAAAGAAAACACATGAAAAAGCACACGCACGTACACGACATTTTAGAAAAGGCTTCACAAAATACCAGACGTAATTAAAAAATAACACATCCCCGTAAACAATTCCTTGAACAGTGATGTTCATAACAGCAACATTCCATTCTACAAAATGTATCCATCCTCTATTCTGCAGCTTGAGGGTACCCCTCAAAACACTAAAATAAAGTTGTGTTTGCTATGGTACCACTTGTTACAAATAAAATGAACTAATATGCACCTTTAAAGTAGGCTACTAAGACCATTTAGGAGGCACATGCTGTACCTTTTAGCTTTTGAATTCAAGGCCAAGTGATAACGTTATTCGTTTTTTTCAGAGAGAACATGTACAGTTTTCTCTAAAACCTGACCAACTGCGAAGACCTCCAGCTGCAATATCGCGCAATCAACAGTGCGAGGCGCAAGAGCCTTCGCTTTTTCCTCCAGCTGAGCGTGCTGACATCAGACTGCACGCGCACGGCGCTGAGCTCGTGCGTGCGTCCGTCTCCATGCCACGACTCGCTCTTTCGTTCCATCTTGTGAACGGCGCATCGGTGAAGCAGCACCGCGACAGTGTTTACAGTAGGCCTTCGGGGCTTACAGATTTTCATCTTTGTTTCTGACTGTGTTCAACTGCGAAGGGCTTGCACAGCGGGCTAAAGCTCTGCCTGCAGACTGAGCGGGGTAAGATATGCCGAACCACGTCGCTCGTTATGAGGTCTGCGACTTTGGCAACTGCACGGCACTTTACGATTATATGTCATGGTATTCCGCGGTATACTTGCTTTTTTTGTCAGTAAAACAGGCACGGATTTAATGCCCGCAGCCGTGGCCAGATATCACAGTCTGCTTGCGCAAACTCGTTAACTGTTTACAGTGCTGACAGACAGAGACTGTCAGACTGTGGATTTGCCGCAACAGACAGTGTGCCATTTAAGTGTGACTGTGGCAAACCGTTATGAGTTCAAGCTTTCAGAGTTCACCTTTGACCAGAAAACAAGCACACCTTATGGAGTTGACCGTCCCTGTTTTCTTCACTCGGTGTCTTTTTTTGCACACTGTCACTTGTGTTAGGCCCATGACAAGGAGTTTGCAATTGCATTAGAAGTTTCAGATAAAAAAAAATGTTATTAATAACCAGTAATTCTAAAGTCTAGCAACAACAGGCCACACAAATATAGTGACAGTCAACTTAAATTTAAAATAATAAATGAAAAATAAATAATAATAACATGCGATCAGTATAATTTGTGTTTAGGGGTTTCTGTCTTGGAAAAATACTGATCTTACACACTTGCCTCGAACCAAGGAAACATTTTTATATTTAACAAAATTTCTTCTAATGACAAGAATTGAAAACATGCACTTTAATTGGTAATTACAAGTGCTAACACCTTTTACAATAACTTTCAGCTTGTTAACTTTTGTTAACAAATAAATAAATAAATTAATAAATTAATATAAATTCAATATATTTTATACAGTTACGAATCTGATGTTATGGCATGAAAGTAAGCTAACTGAAAAGTTTTATTTTGTTGTATTTTATCCACTACGGATAAACAAGTTATAAAAAGTACAGTGACAAATAGTCTTAGATAATGCAATAATAATTATTTATCAAGAATTACTAACGTTATCCTATATAACCTGTAAAATTATTCGATTAAAGTATGCTATAACAGACGTAAGCAATTTATTTCTATCACTTTTCTGTTTCTATGAACCGATTTTTGCGAAAGTTGGTAAGCTTTCGTCGTGATTCGATATTAAGTATAATTTTGGAAAGAAACGAACTATTAAATGATAAATTGTCGGCTTAATACATGCCTCTTGATTCTCTACATTTTTTTGCTCATGAGAATTCAAGTTATTAAGGTATTTTAGTTTCTTTCACAAGCCTTTCATAACCGTCGCATGCCATTTATCCTTTTATATATCTGGACTAATTTGTACGCAAATAAGTATTTTTCTATTTAATTATTCAATCGTAAACACACCAAAATGTCTGCATTTAAAAACATGCCGAGGTTCTCTCATCTGTAAATGTAAAGTAATAATATTATTGGAATTATCTATAGACATTTCTAAATATTTATTTGTTTAGAAAACAAAACTTAGACATATTTTTTTCAGACATAGATCATGTGATTACATTTATGCAAAATGTATTACTTAAATAAAAAGATTTAATTTACATGCATCTCATTTTAATCCACGTTATAATAGTACCGACATTTGAATCGGGACATTTTATAATTTAACATTCTTGTTTGACAGCTTCTGTAGATTGCAGTGGTATATCTGCAATTGTATGATTAAAATAATGTTACATTTCAGGAAAATTATTTAATTTAGGATGCTGTGATATTTCTAAAGCACACAGTACATTTTTCCATAAATCTACGATTCGACCAATTGGACATTTTTATTATACAGTCCTACCTCTGCAAAATGGCTTGTCAAAAACCGGTAAGTCTGTCGCATTTAACTTATTATTAACGGACAAACTGACTGCTTATTTTCTATAAATTAATTACGTTTACTAATAAGTTACTAGAGTAAATATAATATCCCTCCAACATAAAACAATTATCAAACATTTTTAAAAAGGTCATTGCTTTGCAGGATTAATACTCATTTCATTTAAATTACAGAACAGTTAAATTAAATGACAGAAACGAGTGCAGAACATTTGTATAATTAAATATTTTAGACTTTTGCATTTGATGATATTCTAAAATAACTGAGCAAAATTGCCGCATCTATAGGAATATTCACATAATCAAATAACTAAATAGCAATGGGATGCATGCTTATATTTGTTAAGCAGTGTCCTTTTTAAACATGTTTATAAACGAATGCAGCATTCTGGATGTATTAAACTGTTTTAAAATGACCATATGCATGAATTGAGTGGATTTTACTTTATATATTACTAATTTAACGTTTCCCCTTAAATAAAGAGATGCCTAAAAGCAATTACTGAATTGTTTTTGCATGTACAAGACAGGCGCATTACAGCTGTATTGGGGCTATTGCGTGAATTATGATGTTGTTCTTAAATGCACATAACGTTTAATTTTTATTCCAGATGTAGTTTTCGCTTAGCTGACAGTCACGGACGTGTTCCTGTTAACGGCTTTGGTAAGAATGCATCCGTCACTATACCAGCATGGAATATCCAAAATAGGCGAAGTAATAGAGGAAACATTTATGCTTGCCTCCAAGTATCACACACAGATGCGTAAAGATATTAGTATTATCTAGGAGAACTTGTTCCCGCTATAAAGACTTTTGGGCGTTGAAAAGGTTCCGTGGATGTTAAAGGTTCCACTAATATCCAGTTATCCCAAAATAGCCTTTAATTTTGGAGTTTTATTTAGAATGCATGTAGGCTATTTTAGCCCAACTTTAAAATCGAAATTTTTTTTTTTTCTAACATGCTTTGAAAACTTTATTCAAATATACATTTCAGGCACAGACTGGGTTGATTATCGCATGCAGGTAAAGCTGTGGTTTTAATTAAATTAAAGACTTCTTTTATTGCAGATTTCCTGTATAATTTACTAATTTTACAAATATTTTTTAACAACTGAATATATCAATTAGGCTAACTACAAAACGCAATAGTCGGCTATGTTAGTTGACTAATTTGTATAATAGGGAAATGCATGCAAGGTATATAAATTTAATAAAGACATGCACAATAATGTATTATAAATGTTAAGTTTATAATACATTGCTTTATAAATTGATATAATTATATAAATATTATATATATATATATATATATATATATATATATATATATATATATATATATATATATATATATATATATATAATTCAATTTATATAGCAATGTATTATAAACATTGTGCATGTCTTCATTAAAATTAAGACGCAACCTTAAAGCTAAAGAAAGCTTTTTGTATCTTTGCCATCTGCCATCTCAATACATATTTGATTTTAAATAGCAATTGATTTTCCGTTTTTTTTTTTTTTTTTTTTCTACGAAGAGAAAAAAAAAGGTAAACTAGGAGGTATAATGAATTATGAACTGAATAAAATGACATCTAAACAACAGGTCTGCCTGTCCATCGTTACATCTTACAAGCCTATTCATAAATAATATTAATTAATAACAGCGGGGTAAAATCGATTTATTTTATAGCTTATTTTTTTCAGTTTTCTGTAAATTTTATTTTTACCATATAAGCCACTTTTTATTTTAAATCCACTATAGATTTATTTTATTTTATGCGCGTAAAACTTAAAGTATAAATAACCTGGTGAACAACGAACAAAAGAGCTTCAGCAAATAGTTTTTGTAGGTACCATCTGTATATGAAATACGTCGACAGAATACATAATGTACCCTAAGCTGGAAATCTTCATTTTCGCTTTGAATCGAATTCATTTTCAGTTTCGTTTTCAGTCGAATACCACCTAATCTTCCAGGACAGACGCGCCGTGCGACTAGAGCGTGCGGACGCAGAGTTAGAGCTTCAGTACGCGGCGAGTTTTTTCGGATTCTGCACAGGTCTGAACAGCGCTCGTCTTCTCTCCTCACACAGATCTCGCGAGAGCGGTGGCGTGGCTGCTTGGCTGTAGGCTTGCAGTAAGACTGAGGGAGAAGGCAGGCAGCATCATGGCGGACAGAGACAGTGGAAGTGAGCAGGGAGGAGCAGCCACGGGCCCGGGTGTCGGTTCCATGCACCCAGTGACAGGAGGGGCGGGCTCGGCTTCCGGGCTGCAGCACGAGACGCAGGAGCTCGCCTCGAAGCGGGTTGACATCCAGAACAAACGCTTTTATCTGGACGTAAAGCAGAACGCGAAAGGCCGCTTCTTGAAAATAGCAGAAGTCGGGGCCGGAGGAAACAAGAGCCGCCTCACTCTCTCCATGTCCGTGGCTGTCGAGTTCCGCGACTATCTGGGGGACTTCATCGAGCACTATGCCCAGTTAGGGCCGAGCAATCCGGACATGCCACAGGACGAGCCACGGCGGGCGCTGAAGAGTGAGTTTCTGGTCCGGGAGAATCGGAAGTACTACATGGATCTGAAGGAGAACCAGAGGGGCCGCTTTCTGAGGATTCGGCAGACTGTCAACCGGGGGCCCGGTTTGGGATCCACGCAAGGCCAGACCATTGCTCTTCCAGCCCAGGGACTAATCGAATTTCGCGACGCACTCGCCAAACTCATTGACGACTACGGAGTGGAGGACGAGCCGGCGGAGCTGCCGGAGGGAACCTCGTTAACTGTGGACAACAAGCGCTTTTTCTTTGACGTGGGCTCCAATAAGTACGGGGTGTTCATGAGGGTAAGCGAGGTCAAGCCCACCTATCGCAACTCTATCACAGTGCCCTACAAAGTGTGGTCGAAATTCGGCAGCACTTTCTGTAAATACGCAGATGAAATGAAAAAGATTCAAGAGAAACAGAGGGAAAAAAGGGCATGCGAGCTTCAGCAGCAACAGCAAGAGGAGATGCACGGCGACGACGGGGATGAGGATTGATAGTGGAGGGAAACATGCAAAAAAATTAAAAAAAATTATCCGAATAACCTAAACAAAAAAAATCTACGTACTGTGCTGTAAAAAAGAGAGATACATAAAAAGATAAGTAACTGTTTAACTCCAAGGGAGCACTACCCACAAAAAAAAAAAGAAAAATACAAACCTCCACAGACTGACAGTCCACCCATCGCTGGATGACATCCACTTACCCACCATTAATACAGTAAGCGGCTGCTAAACCAAGTAATAACATTATATATGAACTGTGTTTCCTACTTGACGACAACAGAACTGAGTGTTTCTTTCCCTTATTAACCGAGAACTTTTTTACACGTTCCAAGATATTATAAAAGTGTTTGCAATGGAGTTCTTGCCGAGGAAGCGGTTCCTTTATGTGTGAGCTAATGACTTCAGCACAAATCAGATGTTTTAGTTTTTTTAACCAAATTTTCGAATCATCTGAAGAGGTTGTCATGGTAGCCTTGCCACTAGATATTCCAAGCATCACCTGAGGGCTAGCTAGAAAAGAAAAATATCAACCTGTTGATTGATAGAGGTACAGAGGTCAGCTGAGGGCCCGCTGTGAGCAGGTGTCTGGAGGCGGTGGGCGACCTCTTCACAAACATTCTGAGGAGTATTACCAGTGTATTTTTTTAATTGAACTTCTTGTCATGCAGATGATATGCTATGTATTTGTGTCTCGTTGTCATGCACAGTGTGTAAAAAAGGTACTTAATAAGTAAGAGCAGTGACAACAGAAAGAGAAAGAGCTCTCGGAAAACATTTTTTGTAACCGGACCCCTCGATACAAAGAATCATATGAAAATGCTCATGTAGAAAAACATACAAAGTATGATTTTGTGAATCAGATGTATTTCAGTGGAGAAGAAAACAACCCACGTTTTTAGTGGGGGATTTGACAAACAATCTGTTAAAGGGTTTAAAAATATATAGAAATATATGGAAAAAAAAAAAAATATATATAAATATATATATCAGTCTACCAATGAGAGGATGAGTGGCGCCAAGGAATGCTGTAGTTGCATGTTAACCTGTACACAGCCACATTGAGGTGGATTTCTCAATGTTCGTCCTCAAGGACTCTTCTTTGTAATGTCCATAATGTCAGTGATGTTTGGTCAGGTAATTGAACCAGTACTCGTTTTTCTTTTAAGGAATGACTTGTTCAAGAAGTATGTGTACATAATAAGATAATATATCAACTCTTTTGACTGTTTGATAAGACATCAATGACAAGCCTATTGGAATGAAAGCCCTTTTTCATGGGGGCCCTTGAGGACCTGTGTTGGGAGACCCTGACTTTAATGAAACTTGTTGGGGAGCATACTCTTCAGCATTAAACAACCTGGTGCCTTACAGACTCCGCATGCTTATACACTGGCTGGTGCTTTAGATCCAAGTTTGGGTTTTTGTCGTTTTTTGTTTTTTCTTGCCCGCTTTCTTTATTACTTCTTGATTTTGTTTGGCTCTGGCCCTCCTTTATGCTACTGCGTAACTCGTGGTCTGTTTGGATGAAAAGGAATTCATTATTTGAAGGTTCTGATCACAACGAGTGACTCACAAATGCTTTTTAAGCCACCTTTATGAAAACAAAATGAGCCTTTCTTAATTTATCAAATGTTATGTGCCAGGCAAAAAGGTGTATAGTGGCTCTCAACAAACTCTTTTGTTGTGAAGTAAACTTCCGTACTGAAGCCTCTCTGTGTAGTTTGGCAGTAATATGCCATTATCACAGACCAAACGCCTAGTTGAGGGGTGTGGCCAGGATTTTTTTGCTTTTCTTTTCCCAACTTTTTAGTGTTGCTAAATTTGTCATTTTTGGCTCTCAAAGTTTATTTTCCCCCCTCTCTTCCCAGTGCTATATTTCATTACTGTGTGCAATATTGAACGTGCCAATGTTGGCAATATATGTATATCAATTAAATATATGATTAATATTTGAAAAGCATGTGGCTGAATTCCACGTTTATTTCTTTAAAAGGTCTTTATTTCTTTAAAGACTTTATCTGCACTTAAAAAAAAAGGTATGTATCTGGAAAAGAAACCAATTTTATTGAACAAGCTTCACCCAGGTGAAGTAAACACATAGCAGTTTATCTATCCTGTCAGCACTTTCTGTGAACGTTTATGTCATGAACGCACCCTGGCTCAGTTTCATCTCTGTTCTTCGTGACGTGGGAGGGTAAGGGTTACTGGAATGGTCACATGAATCAATGAGGGTGTGAAGGCCTTTGGGTTAGGGGCAATGATTATGTATCTTTAATTTCTCTTCAAATACATACATGGGATGATTCTAATGATGAAGGTGTGTGATGACCTCTTCTGTCTTCAGTAGCACATTGCTTTCCCAGCTGGAGATAAATGTCTGACCAATGTTTGTTTAAAAATTATTTTAACAAAGAATGCCTGCATATTGTTTATATATATATATATATATATATATATATATATATATATATATATATATATATATATATATATATATATATATATATATATATATATATATATCTTTATTTACGTTTTAACTTATGTTCCCTTTGCAAAGAGGTTCACTGAATTCGGCGGTTATGCATCAAATATAATTTATGTACATTTTACAAATTAAAAATAAAAAAATAAAAAGAAATGTTAATTTACCAACTTCTCACAAAAAGAATGTTCAGTATCAATGTTTCTGTGTTTTTTTGTTTATTTTTTTCTCATGTGCAACAGTTCAGGTAGTGGTTGATATTATGCCTCTGACTTCAATGAAGTTTTGTGTGTACACATGTATCACTTTTGATAAACAGAATAATGACCTGAAGCATGCAGACTAACCGATCTGTAATAACACATCATAATGTCATTTGATGCAATCTCATTTTCTTGTATGGGTACTGTTGGTTGGTTTCAGTGGTTAACCAATGTAATAATGTGCACTAACAATACCACTACATTTTCTAAGGTTGTGTGATCATGTGCCATTTATCATTTTAAATTTTCAGCCAATATAAGGTAATATACTAAAGTATGGTTGAATGGGTCTTCCTAATAATAACCATCATAATAACATTCATTTTAAGTGTTATTGTTTGAGCTGCAATGGTCACTCTGTTGAATGCATCATGAAAATTCACATACATTTGTCAATTCAAAAATGAGTCATATCTAGGGCCAGACAGAATCTGCGGACATTTTTTGGTATTTCTGCAGAGAATTTTGTAAAAAAAAAAATAAAAATTCTGCAGATTTTTAATATATATATATATATATATATATATATATATATATATATATATATATATATATATATATACACACACAATGTTTACAATGCAAATCCAATTAGATTCACTTATTTGGTAAACAAAGCAAGTCTCTCATATAATATATCTACTAAAAGACAAAAATATTTATTACAAACTATTGTAAATCATATGAAAATTGTTTTATATTAGTCAAAAATATCACAAATTAATTTTAAAAACCACAATAAATATATTACACAAGTAAATAAATAGACTAAAAATTTTTGATATCTTGGACCTAGTCATATCTTCTCTTTTAATTGTGCCTTAAGCTGAATCTTCATGTTCACAAAATATTGCTGCATTGATTCTCGGAATTTTTTTTTAATTTAATCTCTATTAATGCGTCACACTTTGTGGAAAAAAAAAAAGATAGCTCCTATGATCTTTGTTTGGTAAAACAGATTTCTGATGTCCCTGCTGGAAAACAAGCTAACGATTTAGCTTTATTTTGCTTAGTCATTACTACTACTATTTTATTATTATTATTATTATTATTATTATTATTATTATTATTATTAAATACCATGTATCTGTGCCACAGGAATGTCTTTTAAAATTTGACTTGGACATTGGAGTACATTGGTTTGGGACTACATTAAATTATTTAGTTAAAATGGCATGTTAAACGCATATGAGGGGATTAAATACAGAACACATTCTTATATGATGAAACTGAATAATAAATATTTTGAATGTGCTTGTGATCAAACAGAATTTGAGATATATTATATTTTTAGTAAATGACTATTCTTATTTGGACCACCTAAAATGGAAGCAATACTATTTTTATTTAATAAAAATGCTTCTAAATTCATTTCCTCACATGAATTAAGTTTCAAATGTCACAAACATGTTAAAATTACGAGGGGTAAATAACTTCTGTTGATTTGGGTTAATGCTTATTTAAGTGTAACCAATAATCATGAAAAGAAGTAATGGGTAATCATAAATCAAATCTAACAAAATACAACAGCAGTAACTGGGGAAATGGCAATAGTGGACTTTTTATGATTAAGAACTTTTTGGCAGCTGCTAAGTGATTTGTGGAAGCAGTGAATTGTGGAAAAGATTTGTTATTTAAAGATTTATACACCAAGTAGTTTATTTGAAATCATCGGGGCATTATGACAATGATATACAAAATTATGTCTGTGCATAAAGCTTAAATATTTAAAATCTGCTTGTTTGAGCAGTAGATTTAAGAGCTTTTATTCTCTATCGGTGAAATTAAATAAAATATAGGGAAAGCCAATTAAATTTAGACAACAAATGAAGCTTGGAAACAATATGAAATGGTTCAGAAAGCTGAATGGAAATAATTGCTTAAAATGAATCACTCTATTCAGAAATGTACAGAATGTACTTGACACTTACTGCATTTGCAAGTTGTGCGATATTAGACCAGTAGGTGGTGCTGTAACAAACTGATATGCAAGCATAAATGCTGCATCCACAAATGCAAGAGGACATACTTTCTCCTCTGAGTACTTTTAGTGTGCAGCAAGATGCTGTAAAATGGTGCCTCCACACCACAGACTGATCTGTAATTTAGTGGATCATGACACTGTAAACTAATCCGTCACTCATCCCTTTACAGTTAACATCCTGACATTTCTTTTTGCTACCCTTTATTTATAATTCATCATTCAATTTCTCGTTCTCTATAATGCTTTATGCTGTACTGGAGAGACCAGAAACAGCAGCACATCACCGAATATCTAAAGAAACACAACTGGTAGGACATCTGTATGACATATTTGTTTCATTTTTTTTCTCATGGAATTGTCAAGCTGATGCAATAGTAGATTACTATTTTACTTTCAATAATGTACCAAC